ATTTAAAAAATAATATTATAGTTTTTTTATTATTAAAGTTGATTTTTTATAAATACAAGAAAATATAATTTACGAATATGTACATCAATCTTCTCAAAAAATTTAAAGATGAGTTAACGTGAAAAAATCCTTATTAATACGTGCAATTTTAATATGAAAATTTGCATTAGTAACTATAAAGTCATTGATCATAAATTTTAGGACAACAATTTTTTTAATTATCAGAAAAAAAATTATTTAGAAATTATGAAGATTTTGCTTAATTATAAGATATATCAAACTGACTTATAATGTATATATATATATATATATATTTGTCGGCTGTCCATATAAGCTAGATCAAGTGGTAGTTAAACAAGCCGATTCTCCGAGTAGCACCTTCGTCTAGCCGGTCTGATCTATATGAAAAAAGATATACCCTCTTGTCCTTGATTTCTTTGCTAGTGCGTTCCCTCGACAATTCCTACTCCGAGGAATACTAGACAGACTCACATCATTGAAATACTCTGTCGATCTCCGTCGCAAAAGTTGGCCAATTTACCTGGTTTGTAGTCATGTCAACTAGGACGAGCAGTCTTTCTTAAACCGTATCAAAGTTATCCTCATGTCTATCATACATGAGAAGCTGTCCAAAGTAAAACTTCCATCTCAGCATGAAAAGTTGCACGCCCATAATCCAAAACATTCAGAGCCCATTTGGTCCTTAAGACTCCACCCTAATCAACTGACATTGCCATTATCGAGCCATGACACATCAATTTGGCAGGTAGAGATTCAGGGTATCTAAAGGGGCACTGTCTCGACCTCTATAATAAGAAGGTCATCATGAGGTCACATCAAACTTTTATATATGTAAGCAAATATATTAAAAACATGGAAAAGTTTATGTTCATAGCTAAAATACACATAGCCTCCAAAAAGTTATCCTAATCATATTATTAGGAAGGTTGGTTTTACAAATGGTAAAACAATACATAAATGTTTCAAATTTTCAATAGATCTTCATCAAGACACTAAATGCAACAACAATCATGGTACCATAATTGAATACTTCAAAGAACAAATTTCTATCATTTAGGATGAAGCATGTTTTATGCCATTGATTTGTGTTTGAACTTTTGATAAAAACTTTGGGAGATGTACTTCTGTGATAAATTCAGATACAACAAGAAACCTTTGGCAGAAAAAAGTATTTTTTTGGTGATTTTAGACAAATTATTCAAGTTATACCATAAGGAATGGGCAACAAGCTGTCCTAGCAACATTCAACCTTTTTTTGTCATCAACATAAAGAGATTCTTTGAAAAATCTGCAAACTATCTTGGTAACTCTACATCCTTATGAAAAACGAAAGACGACTGTTTTTTGGCACTTCGCGCGAGATTGTCTGCCTTATTATTCAGCGTTGTGGGTATATGAATGATCTGTGAGTAATTGAAACTCTCTCAAAGGATCCTTATGTCTTCTCAATAATTCGCAAATGCTAGCCATTCCTCTGCTAGTATCCTTGTCCGGGAAAAGCGTCTTAAGCTTTCCATGATCCATCCGAGAAATACCAACGAGCCGGTATTAGAGGTAAACTGAACTCTCTGTTCTCAGTCACACCAGAATTCACAGCTATATTTGAGGCTTGAGCCTCCATCCAAAGCAAACATTTTGTCTCTGCTAATCTCAATGTATCCCTCGGTTCCACATCAATATTGCTGAAAGCTTTATTATTTCTTCCCTTCTAAATATACCATAAGATCCACTCAAATTGGGGATCATCCATGTCCTTGGGTAACCTCCAAAATAGATAATCCATGTTTGTGAACAAATCCTAGGATGAAAAAAAATGTTTGGATGGGATGGGATCTTTGAAAGTGCCCACACTTGAACTGCCGGAGACATTCCAAAAACACATGGTTTATTAATTCTTCACTTACTCCACACCTGGCACACTAGACCTCCTCCTGCATACCTCTACTTTGTAGATTTTTCTCTACCGATATACATCACAAAACTACCTGCCAAAGGAAGTGTTTTATTTTCAGTGGACATCCAATCTTCCAACAGTGAGCTTTTAAATATATCACCGTGGGACCATAAAATGTTTCCCCCTTATCTCGATCAAGATAAACTCTTTCTACCTGATAACCAGATTTAACAGAATATCTACCATTAGTAGTGAAATGCCATCCATCATGATCTACCAGCCGATGCCTACTCAAAAGTATACTCTCTATAATCTTTGCATCCTCCGGTTCCACCAATGACCTAATTACCTAAGAGTTCCATGTCTGTGATGTTGGGTTAATGAGAGAATCCACAGTAAGATGTGGATAAAGATGTTGATTAGAGTTTGTTGTTTTCAGGCGTGTGATTAGGAGCCAATGATTATTCCATTCGGATATAGATGATCCTGATCCCACCCGTTTGATTACTATTCTATATTTACTCTTAAGAAAAATATAAGGTCACACCAAACAGAATTTTTTTTGCTAATTACCTACACCAGTAAAATACAAGAGAAAATGTCAAAGTTTAAACAAAATTAGTTTATATCTGCCAAGTCTAATTTTCTCTCACAAACAATTGTATGTCACAATATTAAGTCACTACAGTGGTAGGACCTCAAATTATTAAAATTAACACAACATATGATGGTAATAATATGATAAAAATGAAAATATTAAGAAGTTTTCATTAATATATAAATATACCGCGAAAAAGATGACTTTCACTCAATCTTAATTAGGGCTGGGCAATCGGGGTCCCAATCGGGTTTCGGTTCGGGTTCATTCGGGTTTCGGGTTTTCGGGTTCATGAATTTCAGCCCCATTCGGATATTATAAAAATTCGGGTCGGATTCGGTTCGGATTTAGTCAGGTTCGGTTCGGGTTTAGTAACATGTCCAAAATCCGGTTGAACCCGAAATAATTTCGGTTTCGGAT